TCTAGAAACTGAAAAAAATGAAAATGATCAATCGGAAGAGACAAAACCAAATATGCTGTTTTGACATTATTTTAGTTAACTTGACTTTTTTGTTTCTAAATGAACATTCAAGATTTGAATAAATATTCCCCAATCACAAACGTACAAAACTGAATACTTCAACTATTCTAATAATTATTTAATAAAAACATTATGACCACCACCCAAAGTGCAGAATCATCCAACCACTATAAAAGAAGATCCCAACCTCAACACTTCTTCTATCATCGTCTCTCCAAAAAGATATCACTAATCCTAAACAATGTCTTCATCATCTTCCTCATCACAACGCATCGTTTCGTTCTCGGTATTGGCCTTAGCCATACAATTTCTTTTCATACAATGCGTTTTCTCCCAAAGCCAGAATAATGCGTTTCTCTACCACAAGTGCTCCGACATTGAAGGGAAGTTCACGTCGAAGAGTCCGTACGAGACAAACCTGAACAGTCTCTTTCGTCAACTCTCTTACCGAGTTCCATCCACCGGTTTCGCTGCCTCCTCTTCTGGTAATACTCCAGATAAGGTCAACGGTTTATCCCTTTGCCGCGGTGATGTCTCCTCCTCTGATTGCGGCTCCTGTCTCGCTACCGCCATCCCCGAGGTAACCTCACAATATTTACATACTTATAACTTTTGGTAATATATGAAAACCACGTAAGATATTTTAGATAGGTAGACAATTTAGGTACGACAAAATAAAATTAATTCACCCGTTCATAAAAGAAGTCGTTTTATTAGTATCATTTTAAATTTTCAATGCAAAAAAAAAAAGAAGATGCTATTTAACTAGTACATCCATATTAATCAAGGGAAAATTGAAAAAAAAAAAAAGATGCTTTTTATGTGCACATTTGCAAAAAATGCTACTTAGGGATGTTCATTTGCAAAAATACCACTAATTATAGATTTTTAAATCTTATATCTTGAAATTCTAAACACTAAAAAATGTTTTGATCCCTCAACTCTCACAAAACCCCTCCTAAACCCT